GGTACGAGCAGGAGGCCACGAGCCTCTCCCGAACCGCTCGTCAACCCCTACGGTGACATACGGGGGCCTCTTCCTGCCAACAGCTGCTTTCTGAATAAATCATAGAGTCATAGAATCATTAAGGTTGGAAAAGACCTCTAAGATCATCAAGTCCAACCATCAACCCATCACCACCATGCCTACTAAACCATGTCCTGGATGATCCCCACACAGTTCATCCTAGCTCTGACCCTTGAGTATAGAGCTGTGGCCATCCCTGCTCAAAGCCAGCCTGAAATTGGCCCTTTCCTTACTATACATGACCCTAAAAGGCGGTACGTTACAACATCGAGAGGCCAAATTTTCATCAAATGCCAATCTTGTACGCATGAGGAGCCATCACGAAACCAAAGATTTGCGCGTGAACGTTATTTTGGAGTAGCCACTCTTTCTCAGTGAGAAGTAACCTGAGAAACAATTAGGTTCATTTCAGTTGGATTATTTGGAGGGGAAAGATTTATCCACACAGAATTTGCCCATGCAGCAACACTAATGTGTGCATGCGCATGCATACGCACGTACACATACACACAAGTCTGTATACTTGTGTGCATAGAAATTCTATTTATTATTATTTTTTATATTTGTATTTTTATACATATACTTACTTATTTTTTAAAACACGCATGCTGTTCTAGCTAGACACTATTGTAACTCTTCTTGTGGCTTCTTATCCCAAACAAATGTCTTCTTTTGGGTAATTTCTGCTGCTTTATATGTGGCGTATGTTAAACAAAATACATTACACACGCTTCCCTTGAAATGCACTATCTATATCACACGTTTTTAGCCCCCATATTCTAAAGGGAGGGTGTAAGAGCAGAGCTGCACCGAGGGTGAAAGCCAGGTCCAGAGCAGAGTCTCACACCGGGTCAAGGCCAAAGCTGCAGCCATCTCGGCCCCGCGGCTGACAGTGTCCGACCGCAGGTGCCTGAGGAAGGGCAAAAGGGGGCAAGCACGTGGCGACGCGCTTGCCCCAGAGAGCTTGCTGAGCCTCTGTCGGCGTGGTGTTCTGCATAGCCAAAATCCTGTCCAGGGCCACTATTCTTTCATGACTCTCTGTAGCTCCTTTTTGAAAACAAGGACAGAAGGAGGACGGCGTTTCGCAGCTGGATTCTGTATCGTGTGAGCGATACCTGCCTCTCGTTCTGTGTGCTCTGTAAGTCACTGCTAGCTTCATTCCATCACCCTTAACATCAAATAAGGCAACAATACCATCCTCTCTATCACTATTCCACGACAATCAAGACATCCATGAACGGATTTCTCTCCTAAAGGGCTGAAAAATCCCAGCCTGCATACTCACATCTTATAAGGCAGCCATGCCACACATTTCATAAACCTCGCGCTCTCTCTTGGAACCTTCTCCAGTTCAACTGGATTTTCTCTGAGAGCAGGGGACCAGAACTGCCCCCCAGATTCAGAATGTAGGTATAGCAGGGATATGTCCATTACCTCAAGGATGTTTTCCGTTTTGCTCTCTTTTTCCTTACCCTAGCATAGCTTTTTTGACTGCTGCTGAACACTGAGCTGACTTCTCACATCAACATTTATTATAACCCAAGAAAACCACAAACAATTCAAAGCCTTCGTTGTATATTTGTAGCTAGAATTTTTTTCTCACGCATCATTGAATACAGACATCAACAATACAATTTAAAAAGGCAAAGCTGCTGCTACCTAAGTAGTCTTCCTTTTTCTTCTCTGTGCAAAGAACATAGAATAAATATGAATAAACAGAGAAGGTAAAGAACAGCAAGGGAATTTACGTGGTATCTCGTAGCATTAAGTTCCCTCACTGTTCATTGTTACAGCTGAAGGTTATTTCTGGAGAAAACGCACTTCTCACTTATGGTTTCAGATGTTTATGATACAAAGTGGCCACCTAACTTTTTAATTCCTTTCTGATTCCCATTATTAAAAGCACCTTTTTTTTTTTACATCGCAAAATTATTCAGACGTTTCAGTGAGTGACGTTAGAGAGCAACTGTTTAAAAGGCAAAAATAGAATTAACACATTTTATTCACACCTTTGAAAATCTTCCCGAGCGTTGCTGGTTTGCAAGCGTTAAAACATCATTTTGTAAGTTATATAAAAATAGTTCAGCAGACAGATATTTCAACACGTATGAGATTCTTACCGTCTCCGCATCCACAAAGACCGTCGGACATTCTGAACACAACATCATCACTTCCAGAGAACTTCTAAATTTGGTTCCGATGCGCTGCAGACTTTCGCCAAGAAAGCTGACGGAATCGTTTGTTATAGACACAAACTTTCTTTGAATGGTCTGGAAATCGAATCAGAAAAACATTTATTTTACATTGTGTTTTACCACCCCTCCTCCTCTGGCTTTTCAGATCAGCATTTCAGGGCAGATTTCCACCATGACAATATGTATTTTTGTCATAAAATTACAAACTGACACATAATTTGCTCTGAATGTTTATGTAAAACTAGCTCCAAAAAATGCAATCCATCAATCAATCGTTAAATAAAACCAGCCTGTGTCTAGAAAGACAGTTACTCCTCTGGCATCCAGGCCTTTAGCATCAGTGCAGCTGGATGTCCATTTGTCTTTATGCAGCACAAAAAGTAGTTTGAGTCATTTTCGATGGTTTGTGTCGCAGAAAACGATGTGCAGAGTTTCACGGCTCAGAATGGGACCTGTGCAGCACAATCTGTGTCTAAAGCTGCCGCCTGCAGGGGTTCTGCCCTCTGCAAACATCAGCCCGGTGCCTGTCGTGCTCGATGGCGCAGCCTTTGGCTTGGCCTAAGCCAACACTGCCCTTTGCTATACATCATTTCATAAATCCCAGGAAGCTAAACGTCGAATAAAAGCGTACAAAGATGCCATTTACAGCTGCAAAGCTGAACTGAGCGTAGGAGCCAGCAGGTGAAATGGAAAGGTCCAGTCAGCCAAGGCCTCCAGGGTATCACTTCACCATTCTGTCCCTCCTCAGTCCCAACTCCTCCAGAACGCTGCTGGGCCCAGGCTCCAGCCCTGGGTCGCTGTCACCCCTCTTCCCAGAGTATCCACCTTTCTTTCCAGCTCTTTAACGAGCACAAGAGAATATGAACTCGTTTTGCCACGTCCAGTGAAAAGCAATCGCAGCCAAGCTTTGGTACAACGCAGAGAAACGAAACCCCCAATGCAGCTTGCTGTAGGTGACCCTGCTTCGGCAGGAGGGTTGGACTAGATGACCCACAGAGGTCCCTTCCAACCCCTACTATTCTGTGATTCTGTGATTCTGTCCAGATGCAGCAAAACCACAAACATCTACAACGAGTAACAGGAGTTTCACAGCGCCGTGGCAAAATACTTCGTTCCTCTAAAAGTGGAAAATGGGTACAGATGCACAAAGAAGATACTCCACGGATGAGGTGGAGTATGAATTCTTCACCTGTAAGCTACCTCATGGTTCTAACCCTAACCCTGCCCATACATATGGATAAAATGTCTGCTAGCACGGTATGACAAAGTGAGGCTTCCACCGAGAAATTTATTATCATATACCAACAGCAGGCAATATTAATATTGGAGATATAGGAAAGGGTTGGAGTCATAAGGTCTTGGTCTGTAGTACTGGTCTGCTCTTAGCTCACTGGGCATGTTGCCTGGGAATGAAATGGATTAACTGTGCGTCTCCTGTCCCGTAAGAAGTTGCAAGGAACAACGTACATCCAAGCAGTGCCACTCTGAAAATGTTCAAACCCACCCCCTGCACATAGGGAGGAGGGAGCCAGAACAATTAAGCCACAGGCATCTCGTGTGGGATACCAGATCTACGAGGGAAATGCAGTTAAAGAGAGGCATTTGAAGCTTCCACCTTTAGTGGATCTCCCGGTGTTTCAACTATTTCTCTGCAGAAAAACCCTTTTCTTGCCAGACAGACACAAGATAAATTCATCAATGTCTGTCATGCTGCCATCCCTTAACGATGAATCCCACGGAAAAGCCAGGAGGAAGCCATTCGTTCTGTAATCAGCACAGAACATTCAGAAAATAAAAGGAGGCACAGAACCTGGACTAAGAGCTTGCAAGAAACGCCGAACCGGGTTTTTTGAGCTGTTTTGGTTTGGTTTTGTTTTCTTTTTTTCCCTCAGTAGAATCACCCCTAGACAACGAATACAGGAGATCACAGAATCATAGAATGGGTTGGGTTGGAAGGCACCTTGGAGATCACCTGGTTCCAACCCCCCTGCCATGAGCAGGGACATCCCATGGAAAAACAGCGTATGACCATGTAACATTCTTTCAGCAACGTGGCCTTTTTGTCTGCTTTTGATTTAATTTCTCAGGCTTGTTGCTGCCATAACCTTACAGCTTTTGCAGTCCCGGAGGGGAAGAACAGTTTTGCAAGCAGGAGGAGAGGCTTTCAGCCAACCGACCACGCACTGGCAGCCCACTGACCTGAAACAACCTCGAGAAGACGTGAAACGTGTAGACAGCGCAGGATCCATCCGTGTCTGACAGCATCTGATTGACGTGGCAGCGCCAGGCTTGCTCTTCGTCGTCGTACGCCACTGGCTGGAAGGCCGCCAAGATGGCAGAGAGAAACGGCGAAGGAGGCGGGGAAGTCTGGACCTCTGGGAAACCATCCTGCTCTTCTTCGTCTTGGCTACGGGTAGCAAACAGCAGAAATTAACTCCTCAGGAGAGTTTTTTTGGGGAGAAAAAAAACCAACCTTCACTTTGGTAGGGAGTAAAAAAAACAATCTGGAATTCAGAATAGTGCTTTGTAAAATAAACAGCCATCAACTAAGGTAACTATGAACCACATAAAGTGTAAAAAATCAAAAACTTTTGATATTGCAATATAAAAAAATTGCTTATACTCTCAAATACCTCCAAAATTTACTAAAACATCTTATTTCTATGCATATCTACAGACAAAGGGCTATCTGTAGGTGATATATAGCTATATACAGCATTACATATACACACCACTCAAACCGATTTTTTTTTTCTTGCCCCCAATAACTGAATAACATTCAATCCTTCAAATTTTTCTTCATCTAAACATATGGTCGACCAATACCTATAACAAATTTTAGCTTTCCTTCAGAGAAATACAAGAGCTCATTTAGCAGTGTAATACTGTTTTATATCAGTCATAAGTCACCTCCCAAGCGGATGGAGATCGACTGGAACACTTTCATTTCGAGGGGCAATCAATTTAACGGGCCTTTGTTCAAAGAGCGTTCTGCAGTCCTGCTTTCCATTAAGCACCAACTATCCCATTAAAAGATCAAACTAAATTAAGCAACGCTACTACTTACCATCATTAACTTCACTGTTAAAATTTTCTGTATCAGAAGGAATGACACGTTTTGACCGTTCTTCTCGTACCACTGCACTTACACGGCAGAAGTACGTGCGGGAGGATTCCACGTACAGGCAGTTTATTAAAATAATTTCTTCCACACCTACCACTCTTCTCTCCAACAACCACCTTATTCACAGCGGCCCCACGTCTGTCTCAAACGAGACTCAAACGTGTCTTCAACAAGAAGCGTGGGTGCTGTGTTTAGGCACGTTCATTCTGGTCGCACGAAGCTCACAGGCGAAGACGCAATCCCTTCGAGTAACGTCCGTAAGCAAAGCTTCGAAGAGATTTTCAGAGATTTCCTAACGAGCGTATCAACCCTGTCACTGATCACCGCTGTCGCTCATCGAACTAGAGGTGTGCGGGTTTTCGTTTCTTTATTTAGTGTAACTAAACAAAAACCCTACGAGATTTTTCAGTTGAAGAATAGAAAATAAACTGCTATTAACTGGTACCGGCCCTTAATTCTTGCGAGGCATATCGCAGGAGGTTGCGTGTGGGACTGCAAGATTTCATTTCTCTGTCTCTATCCCAGTAAAACCTTCTCAGGTTCTTCTGGGAACTTAAAAAAGCTGTTTTTTACCACTGCTTTTCAGTCCTTTTCCGTGAAAGGCTCCTTAAATGATCTCCCTGACAGAATACACACCAAGTCTATGTTCTTGTATACGCTAAGTCTATTTATTATTCCATCTAAACTTCCAAACAAATTTTAGGCATCAACAAGCCTATGAACAACTTTTTGCTCTTCTTTTTTCATTTGTTTTGGTTTTTGTGGCTTTTTGTTTGTTGGTTTGGGGGAGTTTCACTTGTGGTTTTTTAATTTGTTTGTTGGTTTGGGATTTTTTGTTTGTTTTTCTTCCTTCTTAGACTGTTCCCTGCAAGGAACTTTGGGTTTCACTTTAAATACCACTCAACCAGCTAGGGCTAACCATAACTTTTCCTCCCAATAGTTATTGTTACTCTCCATATTAAATCATGGAAAAATGTTATTTTGCTTTAAAATGTCTTAGGAATAGACAAGAGACCGATTGACCTCAACACTGAAACAAACTTCGGGCCAATTCAAAGAGAAACTGGCCTGACTCCTCCAGGAGCTTTGACGAGAAACAAACAAGCAACCAACCATTTTGTTCCTGCCCTGGTGAGGCCTCATCTGGAGTACTCTGTCCAGTGCTGGGCTCCCCAGTTCAAGAAAGATGAAGAGCTACTGGAGAGAGTCCAGCGGAGGGCTACGAGGATGATGAGGGGACTGGAGCATCTCTCCTACGAGGAGAGGCTGAGGGAGCTGGGCTTGTTCAGCCTG